CAAGCTACAGGGTGGAGCCTGTCGCGGCTACATAAAGTGAAAAACGCGCTAGTACCCGGAATGGGATCGCCGAGGCTCCGGGCCTCCGCGACGCCTAGACGTAGCTGCTCCCAAACTTTGTTGCGATTGCGAACAAAAGTCTCCAATAACCTCAACCCCACCACATAAATCCCACCATATTCAAGCCAACATGGCAGACGGAATCGACCGAAATGCCGACGACAAGATGGAGTTCTCCACCTCCAAGGAGGTCACGGTTGCGCCGACCTTCGAGGCCATGCACCTGAAAGAGAACCTGCTGCGCGGCATCTACGCCTACGGATACGAGTCGCCTTCAGCTGTGCAGTCGCGTGCTATTGTGCAGGTCTGCAAGGGACGTGACACCATCGCCCAAGCCCAGTCAGGAACGGGAAAGACAGCAACCTTTTCCATTTCCATCCTCCAGGTTATCGACACGGCTGTCAGAGAGACGCAAGGTAGGATTGCATACGCCTTCGCTGAAGAAGCGCATACTGATAAACCGCAGCACTTGTACTGTCACCCACGCGCGAGTTGGCGACCCAGATTCAGCAGGTCATCATGGGTCTCGGCGACTACATGAATGTGCAATGCCACGCCTGTATCGGAGGCACCAACGTTGGCGAGGATATTCGCAAGCTCGACTATGGTCAGCACGTAGTCTCTGGAACACCTGGACGCGTTGCCGATATGATTCGCCGCCGCAACCTCCGCACGCGCAACATCAAGATGCTTGTCCTTGATGAAGCCGACGAGCTTCTTAACCGCGGTTTCCGTGAGCAAATCTACGACGTCTACCGCTACCTCCCCCCTGCGACTCAGGTCGTGGTTGTTTCCGCCACCCTTCCATACGATGTGCTTGAGATGACGACCAAGTTCATGACCGACCCCGTGCGCATTCTAGTCAAGCGTGACGAATTGACACTAGAAGGCCTCAAGCAATACTTCATCGCCATCGAAAAGGAAGAGTGGAAGTTTGATACACTCTGCGATCTCTACGACACACTCACCATCACACAAGCGGTCATCTTCTGCAACACACGCCGCAAGGTCGACTGGCTCACCGACAAGATGCGCGAGGCCAATTTTACTGTTTCCTCGATGCACGGAGATATGCCACAAAGGGAACGAGACAGCATTATGCAAGACTTCCGTCAGGCCAACTCCCGCGTGCTCATTTCCACCGATGTTTGGGCTCGTGGTATCGACGTGCAACAGGTGTCGCTCGTGATCAACTATGACCTTCCGTCAAACCGTGAAAACTACATTCACAGGATTGGTCGAAGCGGCCGATTTGGACGTAAGGGTGTGGCCATCAATTTCGTTACTCAGGATGACGTCCGCATCCTCCGTGACATTGAGTGTAAGTTTTCCAAAAGCAAATTCGTTCCAAGGACTGCCAGCTAATTATGACAGTGTACTACTCGACTCAGATTGATGAGATGCCTATGAATGTTGCCGACCTTCTCTCGTAGATGATTTTCTAGTTTCTGCATACACATATGCGATCAAGTACCAAACATGCCTTACACCCAAAATAGGTGTGGTAATGCCGTGTAGCGAAGAGGGGTCAAGCCACTCGCTTCAAAGGACAGTGTGGAGGAAAGGGGCTCTACAGCCAAACGGTAAGCTCATCTCCGCTACTGGATCCTATCTTTCGATGCTAATACCACTGTTGTGCCCAGAATTAAATTGAATATATACCCAATATTGTGCTACAATACTACGAACTGACTGGCAAGTGGATGTCTCTTGACGACATTCGGCATTTTTTTTGCGAATCCTCAGTCTATATCCATACCATCTTCATTGATGCATCGAATGATAAGCATTGTTTCTTAGCACGACGCGCTGAGGATAATCACCAATTACTTTTGATTCACTATACTGCTTTGTGGACTCCAACACCCAGTGTTACATTCCCAGCTTATAGACAAGTGAGCAGTATGTTGTCCACTCGGCCTTGCCGGTCAATTCATGCTCCTCGTAGCCGATATCCGGAGTGGGTTACCGGCAGTGAGCGGGGTCATAGCGTCCTCCGGGAGGATGAGCTATCGATGAAGAGCGATCTGATGCTGGAAACCTCTTGCAGCCGCGCCACTGTGCGTACTCCCAGAGACGCTATTCGCCAATTCTCAATTTATGACACCCACGCTGGTGCTAGCCTCCGCATGGCTCCGACGGTTCGCGTGGCTTCTGCCACTATCACCTCCTCCAGCATTACAAAACCCTGGTGTCGGTGTATTGAATTCTTTTAAATGGGAACTAAAGCCTAATGCTACGCTATAGCTCTGATGAAATTCTTAGACCCTGCCTGCAACGAAACCGTGACTCTCAAGTCGTCACTATGTTGGCACCAGCGCCTTGCGAATTCGTACAATGGACTTTCGTCAAGTCCATATCCGTGCGTGCACGTCCACTGGTTCGATTTAACGATTATGTACAAGGAGACATATGGAATTGAGTTCAAAGCTAGGTTGACACTATTGGATCGAAGGGAGTGTATTTGGCTTGAACCCTGGATTTAATGCAGTCTAGGATTGAACTGTAATAGGGTCTTCCACTATTTAGTCTTGGCCAACGAACAAGAGGCTATTCTTAATCTGGACCTAAAACCAGGAGCGAATCGAAGCCGAAACCTATGGTATGGTTGACAAGTGATTAAACATGAGGTGATTGTTATGTGTGTTGGGATTACCGGAAGAGATACAAGGTCGAAGGACATCTTCCTGTGTACGCTTTGAGGGCCAATGCAATACCGAAATGGAAAGCATTCTGAAGAGAGACGGTGATTTTCACTCAACATGACTTCATGATAGCTCATGATCTACCAAACTTCATCACAACTCACCCGTTCACAACGCACGGCTTCTACCTTGCCATCGCGTGCCGTATCATGAACCATTTGTGTCCTAATTGCAGGGTCATATCCATACATCTACCCAACCTCATTCGCATGACCGCAATCGGGCTCTCCACAATGCATTCTCCGAACCAACTCTGCCCATCACAGCACCGCACTTTCGAATTCGCGCCGGCACCATAGTGCTAAAGAAGGAGGATAAATACTTCTTCTTCTACCTTCCAGGTTTCATTCTCATCAGCAATCACTATCAATCGCTTCCTCTACAGTCCAGCAGCTCAAAAGCAACCCCATCAGTACGTTTTCAACTCTCAATACCCCAGAGCGCTCTTTGCCTCACTTCCCGAGAGCATTCCTACAACGAAGCTCTCAACACATTGTCTTCAAGCAACAAGAGATCCCCTTAAAACATCATCAGATCTTCTTCAGCTAGCAACAATTGCCTTGCAATCACCTTCACAACACTCTAACATTTTCGCCCATCAGAAAAACCAACCCACCACACATACCTCAAGACAAAAATGCAGCCCATCGCCATCACCTTGGCTCTCGCCGCCCTCACCAGCACCGCTCTTGCTGGTGCCGATAAGAAAGTGAAACCGCCCAATGTTCCCCAGCCTCCTCACCCAGTCATCACCGTCCCGGTTGAGAGCATTGCCCTGCCTATCCAGAGCGTCGCCGTTCCCGTTGAGAGCATCATTGTGCCTGCTATCAACCCCGCGCCAATCCCTGTTCCTGCGGTTCCAGTTCCCGTGGCCCCCATCCATTAAAATGTGAGCGCATGTTCGTCGACGAATACAAGAAGGGACAGGTACAGGTGATCAGTGGGGGCTTTTGCGGTGGCTTCGAGGATGCGGACATGATATTCCAGCTTCCTTTTTCAAATTCGACAAGGTAGCAGAAAAGGGGGGTATCATGTTAGAGTTTCTCGGCATTCTCAAGTTGGTTCATCTTTCGTCATTGGGAGTGGTGCGGATGTGGAAGTGTGTGGTTGGAATTACTCTTTTCTCTTCTTCACCTTCTTTACCCTCATTTTTTAACGTTATATTCTACCCGGGTTTAATATCTTTTTTATCGATGCATCTCTACATATGGGGGTGCAAGGGGAGAAGAGATACCGCATGTACTGTATCGATGGTAGAGACAACATCTCGTCTTGGACAATACAACATCTCTGCCTTCTAATGATATCTTCTTTGGTTATTAAAACCAACTGCCTATAACGTGTATGGATCTTTAACCTGCTTTGCAAGTCCATATCTTGCTGTTGTGTTTTCAAGGATGCGCATCTTCGCCAAATCCCAACTGCACCCTCCGAACATCATACGATTTGGGCTATCGTCCAATGATCAGAAGCTCGGTCACAGGAAATCTGTCAAAACTTCACAGGCTACCTGCATCACCGCCCAAGGGACCTAAGTAAACGAGATACCAAGAGCAACAGGCAGTCGAGATGTCTTTTGGCTGCCTACGCACATTGACACTGCGCCTCAGCCTTGCGAGTTCTAGTACTTGTATACTGCGAAAGCCATCGACAATAGAAATTTTCTTGTGTTAAGCAAAATCATTGTATATTCAGGAATAAAATTTCGCGAGGAAGGAAACGACCATAGGGAAGAGGGCTCTATTTGCACAAGTAACTTCGAGTGAAAGCCAGGCACGTTGAAAGAGTTGGTGCGGCTGCGATGCGGCTGCGCCCCAACGGCCCCACAGATGACTGCCGCTGAACGTTCATAACGGAGAACCATGCACCCAATTGATAACATCACCGTACATGCGTTGATTCCTCCGTGGCTAATATCGCATGGTGATTGGCCATTTAATCGGAGACTTATACACCTTGTACCTGTCCCCGCCACGGCTACATGCCTTTCTGGTACTAATGCTGGCCCCAACCGATGTTCAGCTCGTCAGCCCCGTCAGCCTCGTCTGCCTTGATTGCAGGCAATAAGGCGCCCATTTACTTATAAGTATTCCCTCAAGCCTGAATTAATCAGGTAGTATTCACCCATCTTCTCCTGTGTCGCTACATTAATTGTTGCCCGAACCATGCGTTTTCTCTCAATTGGTGGTAAGGATGATGTCAACTCCACTGCCGACCATCATTAACATCCCATAAGCCACAGTAGCAAGTCTACTTGCATCTAGTAAAGCCTTTGAATTATCTCCCCAAGAAGTGTTGGACAAAAACTCCCCACAAATACTCAGTGAAACGGGCATCGATCCCTGTACCTTGGTAGACTCGCCAAAAGCGAATGCCAGCGTGCAACTTGGCAGCTGGCTAGAATGCGCCGTAAACGGTAGAGAAACTCTCCGATTAAGACCACAGAACCACCATTTCTAAGACCCTCATTCTAGGTTTTTACCCGTTCCCAGCAAACAAAAACTGGCCCGAGGGTCACGCAACCTCTTTCTCAAAAGACATCAGATTTACATTCAACGACACACACTACGACTTTGAAGGCTCACGAAGGCTTTACAACACATTCAACACAACCCTAGGCGTCGCTTTCGCGCCCTTCAAGCACGGCTTCATCAACACTCTCGGCATCCCCAACGCCAATGGCGACAAGGGCGGCTTCGTGTACATGATTGGGTGGGCTGGTGGATTCCAGACGCGCATACAGCGCGATGTCTACTTCACCAATGCGGCGTTTGCAGTAGTCAAGGAAGTGGAGGGGGAGAGGAAGATTGTTGAGTTTAGAGAAAGCAGTAATATTCCGAATACTGCGATTTTGCCGCCGCCGGTTGAGTGGACGTGCGAGTTTTAATAGGTGGGCGAAGCTTTTGGGTTTATCCGGAAAACATGGATTGGATGTTTAAAATACATAGAACATGTATGTTTGGACATGTATAGATAATAGATTCTTGGAATACGCAGAGGAATATATGCGACAAGTCCTCATGTGCATGCAATAATTTCGTTCGTCAAAGCCCTAGAACAAAAGAGAATAAGAATGGAATGTATTGTGGATACAACACCTCACATAGTACCTCAGCAAACGATTGGCTGGCTTGTTACATTGGAATAGCGAATCGCAAGCTAGGCTAATTTTCATGATAAAGAATGACGTGTGAGTACCCCTTCAACTCACTAGATCCTTCCCTAACCTCCACTTCCGCTACGTAAAGGCGCCGTCCAACTAGCCATGAATCTCAAGCGCATTGCCCAAGAACTCACGATCCTCCAACACAACCCCACAGACATATTCTCCGCAGGTCCAGCTGAGACGGGCAACCCGCTAGAATGGGTAGGATACATTATGGGTCCCCCAGACACTCCATTTGAACGAGAAAAGTTCGCGTTCGCCATCGCTTTTCCAGAGAATTACCCCGCAAAACCCTTTCGACTTAATTTTACGACTCCAATCTCGCATCCTAATGTTTCTGACGAGGGGGTTGTGCAGATGGCAGAACTGGGGGAAGAGTGGTCGCCGGTGCAGACTGTTCGCACTATTTTGATTTGTTTGCAGGTTTTGTTGACAGAACCGGATCTTTCTACGCCATACGATTGAAGGCGTAGATTCAGATACAGCAATCGAAATCTGTCTCTGATTGCGGTGCAAACGCCACTTTGTGTTTACTGAGCAAACAAATCCTAAACATAGTTCACCAATCTAAACACCTATAAATAACAAATCTCCAGACTCTACATCGCAGCCCCTGTGCTTTTCATAACTGCCAAGCCCATGTTAACTTACAAAGCTCACCAGACATTTATTCAACAACCCAGACTATGAGCTTCCACAAACCGCCACACCCCTCCCTTCTCGAAACCATCCCAGCTTCCGACTTCAAAGACTTCCTAACCGTAGCGCTCGACCTCCACACCTACAGCCTCGACTTCCTGAATATCATCCCACTCGATAATAGAGATATTACTCTCTACTTAGACAGACACCCACTAGCGACAGCAAAAGGACTGCAGGTCCGATATGACAATCTAGACCGAGAGTACGGCTGGGCCTTGGCTTCTGATCACGAAAATGTTGATAGAGTACTAAGCCAGTTTTGCAAAGCCGGGAGAAAGCCGAGCGAGTGGTTTGCGGAATTCGTGGGTGAGTTGGAGAGTGTACGACGGTTGTTGGAGAAGGAGGTTGCACAGTGGGAGAAGGTCTATGATCATAAACCTTCCTATTTGCTTGATAAGTAGCACGTGTCTTGGCTCTGGTTGCCGGGATGGTGAGGTTTTACTAGGGGCCGGGGTGTAGAATGGTTCAAGGTTATCGGTGTAGTTATAAAATTGGTGGTATTGTCAAGATTGAGCCGGCTAGGGTGTGTGTCTTATCATAAGATCAAGGTAGTTAATCAATGTTTTTTTAATGCAACTTGCTTGCCAAAGGAGTATGCGGATAATCCAGTCTTCAACGAGTCCATTTACCCGATGGCATAAAGAGCACTTTACGAAACCAACATACGGATCTTGCATCATGGCATAAACCTTAATGGTAAAGTAGTATAATATCGCGCCTAGATATTGTACCACAGGGAATTTGCATATCTACCTCTACGCTTACGATAAAACGTAGTAACGTGATCCGGTAAAGTAGTACGATTACATTATCTACACGGCGACCTTAGTATATGCGCACTGTGCAAACAAGCTAACCAAGTATTTGTCAAGAAACCTTGTCGACAGCAGTAAGCATCAGTAGCCAGGATGTTAGATGAAAAAGAAGAGTCGCCCCCCCCCTCAAGTAAGCCTAGATAAGTACAAGGTACTATCCATATACTTACTGTGGGGGGTTGGGACCAATGTGACTACCCCCGGATCCGCGCCGGCCCGAGTGATCCCGGACCATATTACCCAGCCAAGTACATATCTTTCCATTTCAAGCCTTCCACCTCCGTTGGAAAACATGCCGGTTTAAGCCTCATTCTTATGTTTCTCACAACTACCCGCGACCGTCTCACACAGGTGTAAATAAGCTCGGGGAGTCCAAATGCGCTAATATCTAGGATAAACCTTCGGCAGAGAACACACCGGCCGGTGAAGGATACAAGCAACACAAGAACGGGCTGCTAGCGCCCTTTTGCAGCACGGCAAGTGAAAAAGATCTTCATAAGAGTGGCGAAAGAAGGGCTACTGTAGATTAAAAATTGCCGGGTGGCTAGTATGTACCGCGCGGGTTCCAAAACACCCGAGTGGATGGAAAGTTGCTGGACACGGCACTGCACGGTAAACAAAAAAAGCTAGTGTCGGGTCGTTTTAGGGGGGTGTGGGTTACCGAAATGTCACTTTTTGACGGCAAATTCAGACACATGCATTTTCTAGTGCGGGAGCCAAGAGAGCAGAGAGAGCAAGAAAAATGTTCTTCCGCCGCTGCGCGCCCGATTTCCAGTATACCGAAAACAAAGCCGAGGCATGATTTGATGGGGTGTTTTTTGGGGGGCTCCACTAATGGTAGTCTGGTGATATCAAATTGTTTACAAAAAAGAAGCAAGTATAGCACGCAAAATGTTTGAAACTTGTGTCACCGAGAACCAGGGTTGGAGCGTTGTTCGTTCGCTTCATTGTTTTTTTTTCATTTCACATATTACTAATTCATGACAGCCCTATTTACATCACCCCCACTATGCCTCCCCCCCCCCTTTTACATGGGTATATGCTGGAGATCGTCGTTTTAAAAAAACCGCTAACAAAACTTGACTATTAGGAGGTGTTAGCATTGAATAGGTCTGTGGAAGATAACAAGGGTTGTGAACTTACAAATGCAGATTGTGTAGCGCTTAGGCAGTGGTGCATGTGCAGCCCTTCCTCAGAGCAGGGTCGGTGTTGGGCCATCCCACACAAAGGCGACGTCCACAGTTCAATCCGTTGACACCACAGTTATCCCGTGCGCAGGGGCCGGTGTAGCCTTGTGGGAGAGGGTCTGGCATTGCGAGAGCGACACTGGCGAAGAAGGTGGCGACTACGATTGAGAAACGCATGTTGATGGTTTGAGGAGTAGGACGGGTAGTTGGGTAGTTGGAGAATGGGGTTTGGAGTTGAGTGTTTGTACTATTGAGAGCTGAGAAGAGAGTTTGTTGTGCTGGTGCTGTGATGGTGTAAATCAGGGCGGCGTGGTTAACCTTTATATCTTCACATCAGTCCTAGATGTGACGTATCAACGGGACCCGAAACGAGACCGCTGGTCTACTGGTTAGAGGCTACAGGGACCGAATGGCTGTCGCACAGCCATGCACCGGAATGCGATCCAAGACCCTACAAGGCCGGGATGGTATTCCCAGGTCAACCCGAAACGATACAGCCAGTGCCACTACGCAGTGTTCAGATATGAAGATCAATATGCTGCCCATGCAAATCATGGAGCAATGCACACAATGCAACCCAAAGTGGACGGATTGATGAGTTCCGCCGTCAGTTGTGTTTGGGCGGCAGGGACTTGGCTTCTTGGCCCTGAGTCTAAGCTGGTAGGCGGTAAGCGGACAAGAGCGTAGATCGTAGTCGATCACCAGCCTGAGCTTTTGCCCAGGAACTTTGCTGCGGACAATACCTTACGTGTTAGTTTAACCGAGATTGTAATGGTATCGATTCGTCCTCTTGCTCGTGTTGGTGGAGTTGAGGCTAAGTCGAGATTGCCGAGACTTTTGTGTAGATCACAAGGGGTGGGAGGGCCAGGATAGGGCTGTATATGATAGCCAATATGCATACACTTTAAGATACATAGATAGGTGGGCGTCACGAGCGTGGAGAAAACGATGTCGCACGCCCAGCACTAAACGGCCTAAAGCGCACAACTCTGGGCACTGCGGCCGGTCAACCTGACGTACTCGAGCGTCTTGTCCAGGGCTTTGATGTCGCAAACAAGGCCGACTGTATACGTCCAGGCGATATGAGACGAAGGTAATGCACCTTAGCTAGACTCCTAACTGCCGGCTAGGATGATGCAGCGGCGGCTTGCGGATAACAATAGTAAACCGGATATGTGCCAAGGAAAAAGCAGCCACAGAGTAAACGGAACGAGAAACAGCTGCAGAGGACTATGTCAGTGGCGTGCGCCGGGGACGGAAGATGCAAGGCTCCATGTCGAACACGGCGCGTTTCAAGGCGAGAGGGTGGAGAGGAGGGCAGAGGGCGGGAGTGGGTTGAGAGGGCGGGAAGCTAGACGCGTGTCTTAACTCCGAGGCTGTTATCTCCACGCCTGCCTAGCCCAGTCCAGTCCAGCAGCCATGAGCGGTACCCCGTGTTTCCCCGCCATCACCAGTGATCGTTGCCTTGATTCCCCCCACCATGAGAGACGATACAAGCAGTAACAACAACAATAATAATAAAGACCGCAACACTCAAAATGAGGGGCACCACCACCTGCGCCCCGAGGATAACCCGTTCATCGCCTTCCGCCGGTTCGCAGACTCCCAGGTCTCCTCCCTCCTGAACACCGTCTTCACCCTCCCTGCCACTCTCGCCAACTATAACAATGCGCATCAGGCACGTGAGTTGTGTCTGTTTGGCAAGGCCAACCAGCGTCAATGCGACAAGCTTCACAACATCGAAGTGGAGATTGCTGAACTGCGGAACGAGGGGAGGGAGTTGTTCAGAGTGGGCGATGTGCAAGCTGTCCTTCGCAACAGTGAGGAGCTCATGAGGTTGGACCGCAGAGCTGATGACATACGCCGCGACATCTTGCGTGCCCCTAATCAAGAGAATCAAACACAGCCCCCGCGTCGCAATGAGACCGAGCTCGTCGAGAGAGTCGCCAACAAAAAGGGTCAGGAGTGGGGATGGTCTTGGGACTGGGGTTTCCCTCGACCATTCGACCATGAGGGTCAAAACGGTCGGGACACATCAGAGGATCAAGACGCCAACAGCTCTGTAGCTCTGGACAGGCTGCTGCGGATGCAAGCGGAAGCGACGCGACTGGCCCAAGACTTCGAAGACAAGGCTTGGGAAGACTCGGCCGTCCATGTAGTAAGATTCGACAATTACACCCAGACTCAGTCTGACGGTAAACAACCCCGTCTATGGTCATGGTCAAAGTCATGGCAATGGCCCCCAATGCCAAATGCATCACCGTCTGACATGGACGCATACTCGCCTTGTGCGCTAGAGCAGAATCCTACCTTGAACAGAGCAGGTATACCGTGGCGCGCTGCCTATGAAGATCTTCTGCGGGCCGAAGAGATCTCGATGTCGCAGCGACAGTCAGCGCAGACCATGGAGCAAGACAACGAGAATACACATCCAAGCAGCATGTATACCGATGCTTGGTCGTCTCGGCCCAAGATCCCCATCACTCACCGACAACTAGAAGAGATGATGGAGCGGAGTGAGAAGCTCACTTGTCCACGGCTTGCTGCGCAAGCTGAACCGAGCTACAAATACAGTCACGATCATGAAGACCAGCACGATGACCCGCCTACACCTAAGCGCACCCAGTTTTTCCTGCACACTGCGTCCCAACAAGACCCAGCAAATCGTTCTGACAGAGAAGCCGCACGATATGAAGATTATGCCAAGGAAATGCAAGACCCCGCAACTGAAATGGACGCCTACGAGCGTCTTGATGCTGTGTCCGCACACACAGCCGTCCCACTGGCTGGGCAAAATGAGCAGAGCGAGGCCAAGTCTTCCATCTTGTCGACACTCACAACTACCGAGCGCACTGTTGCGCCCAACGGCACTATAACCACCAAAGTCTTGCTCAAGAAACGTTTTGCAGACGGCCGCGAGGAAAGTACAGAAACGGTACATAGTGAGCGCGGCCAAGAGACTAACGGCCCCTCACGAGATCCTTGGAAAGCACTACGAAGCGGTCAGTCAGACTCGTTGGAAACAGGGGATAGCCATGGCAAGAAGAAGAGTGGTTGGTTTTGGTCTAACTGACTGTCATCCTATCAGTGAATCAACGTTGAAATACGCAACAGGTCAACTGAGATTTCAAACATCTTCCTGGTGGGTTTATGATCGCCGTTCGCTTCTACTTACCATTCGCTTCCATCTATCTGACATATTATGATTCATTCTTTTTTTGTAAATAGCACTTCGCACATACCCCTCTCAATTCAATGCAAATTCTTTATCTCCTTTCAAATACAGAAGACGAATATCTTTTTTGTCTTGGTGTTTTCCCTAACATGTTTCATGAATGCATGTCAGTGTTGCATCACGACTTGGCAAACTCCAATCTCAAAAAACCTTCTCGAATGATTACCGATACGTATATAGCACTTGTCATATGTGCTCGAGAGCCGCATACATCCCCCCCACGCAGTGTCACAACCTCCATCCCAACGTGACAGTTTCCGAAGCATTCCCCGCAACGCGGACTCCATCGTCCCAACACTCCGCCTGCACAGACACTCGCCCGTCGCAAATTCCCATACTCGCACTGCTCGATTCCCACTATTATCACTCTGCATAGCCCCGTTTACCACGCATACACTCTCCCCACTATACAACCACCCTATCGCATTGTACCAGTTACCTACCCGCATAACGAAAGCAAGCACTGCCACACGCCAAAATATAACCCCCTCCTCCTTGTCACAACCCTGCACAACTAGGTGCAAGGAACATAAGCACCGCCCCCTCCGAGCGAGCGCAACGCATATCTTTTCCTGGGTTGTAAATAGTAGACATGGCGTTTACATTCCAGCCATAGATAAGCCTGGCAAGGGTAAGTTGAAGAGAAAAAAAGTGTCTTGGCGTTTCCGCTCCGCCCGCTGGGCGGGAACGGGCTGAAACGCGGCGCGTGGAGGACTAGTGTAAACGGGTAGTGTGTCGAAGGGTAAGAGGTATGTGGAATTAATGGCCGCGCGTTAAGGCAATCTTTCGGCGCATTTTCTTTTTTTTCTTTTGGAATGATCTTGTTTCTCAGGTTAGGAAAGATTTGGGGGGTATGTGAAACGGTGTTTGCACGTGGTGGGTGAGGTTTGCCTGAGTTGTGCTGGGGTGAGAATGTCGGCGTGGTTATGTTGTAGATGTGGTGATTGGTGATTGTGGATCCATTGGCGGGGAGTTGTTGCTGGGTTTGATGGGGGTGCGTGTCGTGTCAGTAGAGCGGCGTAGAAGGCCGCCTCATGCCTCGTGTACATAGGCGCTGGGTTGTAGAGGTGATGAGGCTCTTCGAAACAGTGTGAGTGGAGAAGCGGAATACACTCTGTTTCCATGCCTGGGCATGGATCGGATTTCAGGTGTCGTTTGAAGCACTGGGGTATTTGTAATAGACATAATTGCAGCGGCGGAGGTATTGGGTACGAAGCACTGATTGTGAGACGACAGTGGGAAACCAAATTATCTGCCGGTGATTTGATTGAACTGAAAACATTGGATTGTGTACAAGAACATCATCGTGAAGGTTCGCGCTACCCAGTCTGATAAAGGAAAAGCGCAGGAGATGACAGGAATCGAGAAAAAGTTCAAGAAATTCCTGACTTACGACCCATTCATGAAAGCAGCGTTGTCAAGTCAGACGTCTGTTCTTTGTGCGGAAATACCAAGTAAGATCTTTTGCCATAATCAGTGCGATGATTATCAATGGACCTTCCAAAGCGTACCTTGTGAGTATCCCCACTTCTGCAGAAGACGCTCGATATCTTTTCTCGTCGATTTTCTGGCATCCTCTCGATCGATTCCCTGATCAAGCAAGGCGTCGTATTCGGTATGTCTATGGCGAACGTGTGCAATCACAGCAAGTAATACCTTCCGCGATAATGGTATCGAATTTGTCCTGCCCACTCTACCAGAGTGCTTCTTGAACCCATGTTTAAGCACAGTCTCGCGTTCATCTTGGGGCATTTGTGGGAACTGTTTTTCCACTTCAGCACTTGCTTTGGCAATGTCAGTAGCATCGCGCTTGTTAGTTGTAGCACGACGCGTCGAGAGTGTTTGTTTGGCCTGCTTGTGTACTGTGTCTAAGATTGCCAAGGGTGCACGTAGTCCAATCTGTTTCTTCTTTTCCAACACGATATATAGAGGACGGGCTGCTTTATGGGTAAGCTTGCGGCAATGCAGCGTTTTGTACCGGTTTCCTTTTGGGAGGAAACCGTACGCTTTTGGCGTTGGTGTATCTGCGGATACTGAGATTTCAGAAGGCATATCGACTGGTGAACTGTCCGCTCGTCTGAAACGTATTCATGAGCTTTGGGATATGAAATGGATTCCTGTGATCAGCTCGGTTAATACGGGAAGCAAGCTGAGTGCTTTTGATATTCGAATTGCTAGAAAATGAATCAAATTACGTTATCCCCCTTTTTTTTGCTGATGTGCACAATGTCGTGCGAGGCACGAGCGTATGGACAAAGGGGGTTGTTGATGCGCGGTCGCGTTGAATGAGCCGCGTGTAAGTTGGCACCAGAGACGCTAGACCCGAAACGTCCACACGTGACTACGCGCTAACCTATCCCAGAATACCTCGACTGCTTTTTGATCCGCGCCTCAATGTTATTTCATTTCGACTCTGTGAAATGGTTACTGTTCTGAGGGAAGGTTTTCCGTCGACTTGTATCGCCAGACATGGTGGCTACATTGGTTGGGCCTGCCCTCCCCCAGCTACGGATGACGCGGCAGCCCCAGATCTAACTTTGGCATCAAGGGGCGACGGGGCCCACCTGCGCGCACCAATCCGGCCACATTTACAGCTTATAGCTCAGCCAGGCTCCAGCCACGGTCAGCTGAATGGCAACGTCGTGGCATACTTATAAAATCTTCAGCCACACATACAGACCCTGTCAATGACAGTTCCCGCGCGTGACCTGTTCTTTCCACCGTCTCTAGCTTCTCTGGCCATGCAGATCAAGCCTCTGAGTCGATCCGATACAGGTTTTGGCGATGATACCGACCTAGCCAACATAACATACAACGACAAGTACGTCATCGCGTATGACTTTAGCGACGTTGGTATGTCCACGAACCACTCCACTCATGGCTCTTACTGACAAGCACCAGACGATGATGTTGCCATCAAAGAGTGCCAACAGCTGCTGCACGATCTCGAGTCGGCTGGACTGAACACTGAAGTGCGTGCTGGCTACGATGAATCTTTGTTAGTCTTTGTCCAAGTACCGAGGGATTTGCTTGGCAACACTGTATACAAGTCAAGGTATGCTTTCAATGCTCGTAGCTCTTCTCAAGTCTTTGTCACCTAACATATGCCCCAAGAGTCAAGGATTGGCTATATGGCATCACCAAAAACCATCCCGGTGGCACCGCCAAGTCAATCGTTTCAGCAGCTTTTGAAGCTGAAGATGTCCTCTCCGTATATCACCTAGTCAACTGGCGTAAAGAGTTTGGAGGTGCAGGCATCACTCCGGGCTTTCCACCGTGGGAAAACGTCACCTCAATCTTCCCGTTACACAACCCTCGTGCAAATCGGGCGCTTCTGGCTCATCTCAGCACACGAGTCTTCTTAGATCTTTCCGACCTCGACCAAATCCGTAATCTTTGGGGTTCGAAAGTCGCTTTTTACTTTGCTTTCATTCAGACATATTTCCGTTCCCTTGCCTTCCCATGCGCTGCTGGACTCTTTGCATGGGCATTCCTTCCACAATATTCGCTATGCTTCGCCTTGTTGATTGGCGTTTGGTGCACAGTATTCTTGGAGTACTGGAAGATCAAGCAAGCAGATCTTGCTATCCGCTGGAATGTGCGGGGTGTGGGTAGCCTGAAGGTGGATCGTCCACAGTTTCGTTACGAAAAAGAGATCATTGATTCAGCTGGAAGAGTGCAGCGCATTTTTCCCCGATGGAAACGAATCCTCCGACAACTGCTTGTCGTTCCTTTTGTTATTATCAGCACCGTAATTCTTGGAGCTCTCATCACTTGCGTATTCTTTCTTGAAACGTTCATTGGCGAGGCATACGACGGACCGCACAAGTTTTATCTGGTAAGTATAGTCTCTGGTTGTCGCATCGCAATGAATAGTCTAACAAAAAAACAGGAATACCTTCCGACTATTCTTCTCGCAGTTTTTTTGCCATATGTCACCAGCTTTTTGGAAGACATCGCTACCGTTCTGACAGACTACGAAAATCATCGCACCGAGGATCATCACGAGATGTCCCTCACTCAAAAGGTCTTTGTGCTCAACTCCATTACTAACTACTTGCCCATACTCCTCACCGCATTCGTATATGTGCCCTTTGGTAACAAAGTTTTGCCGGTGTTACAGAGCATGTTGGATGCGGTGCTGGGCTCCCAGAACAAAGGGAAGACCAAATTCCATGCCGATCCCGACAGACTACGCAACGAGGTCATTGCATTGACCGTAACTGGTCAAGTCTCCGGTGCGGTTGAAGAGTTAGCATTGCCTTGGCTAAAGGAGCAGGTCAAGCAATGGTGGCGCGATCGACAAGCTTCTCGAGCTCAGAATCAAGGAAACGTGGGCGCACAACTGATACCGGAAGACCCTATTGAAGCTGGCTTTCTTCGGCGCACAAGAAGGCAAGCGCTTCGCCCCTCGTACAATGTCCAGGAGGACATTGCGGAGATGGTGATCCAATTCGGTTATCTTGCATTGTTCAGCCCCGTATGGCCACTAGTACCCATTGGATTCTTTATCAACAACTGGTTCGAGCTTCGGTCCGATTTTCTCAAAATCTGCGTGGAGCACCAAAGACCCACTCCAATTCGAAGCGATGGCATTGGGCCTTGGGTCGCCAGTCTGGAATCCCTGACATGGCTGGGAAGTGTCAGTAGTGCCGCCATTGTTCATCTCTTCGGCACCGAGCAATTTCTTGGCCCGTATTTTGGCTTGAGCACGTGGGCCAGTCTTCCACTCACAATCCTCATATCAGAGCACATCTTCATGGCTTTCAGAGCAGCGGTCCGATTCGCACTCTCACGAATCGGATCCGAGCAGATACGCAGAGAAAGAGCCGAGCAGTATGCCGAGAGAAAGCGACATCTCGATGAGCTGGAAGCAAAGGCCACCAAGGTATCCCATTTGGATGTAGCCGAGCGCGAAAGAAGGAAGAGTGTGAGGATCAATGCAGCCGATATCTTTTGGACTAAGCAGGTCGATGTAGGAGCCAGTGCTGAAGCCGGTATCAGCATCATCAAAGCGACGAAGATTGCAAAGCACGAAAGCGAAGTCACAGGTAGGAGCACCAAAATAGACTAGTAGAGAGATCAAGAAGCACACAATTATAGGGGAAAGATCAACTTCTTCATTCCTTTCAATCAAATATTTACAATATCTCCACCACCAATCAAAGTATTTACAATAATGTGTCGAAAAGAAGGATAGGTAAGGGGGCAAGAGAAGACATAGTCTTCCTGGTTCCCAGGATGCCCAGCATCGCAAACAGTTTACTTGAGAGCGTTGAGGACAGTGGTGTAAGCCTGCTTGGGGTTGTAGCTGTTGTCGAAGAGGAGAGGGTTGCCCTGGGGCCTCCAGGAGTCGGAGTCCCTGACACCCCAGACGGTGATACCAACGCAGTTCTTCTGGTTAAGGCAGGCCTTGGTGACGTTGGTCCAGTCAGCCTGCTGGGCGTTCTGGATGTCGACCTCGGTCATGGCGCACTCGGAAGCAACGCTGCAGAGGAGCTTCATGGCGTCGATGGTAGCGGCACCCTGGCCGGCGGTAAGGTGAGTCTGCGAACCGATACCGTCGATGGGGATACCGGCGGCGATCCACTTCTTGACGTTCTTGGCCATGGCCTGGGTCTTTGCGTAGTTGGCAGTGTCAAGGCTATATTGCAGTCAGTATATCGAAAAACTTGGTAATCATAGATCAATGCTTACTTGTAGTCGTTGATGTAACGCTTAGCAGCGGGGTCAGCCTTCTTGGCAGCCTCGAAGGCGATGCGGACAAAGTCCTCACCGAGAACGTTGTAGAAGACGCTGGCACGGAAGTTACCGTTCTCCTCGAACATCTCGTTGATGACGTCCCAGGCGTAGATCTGGCCCTTGAAGTGGCCCATGACGGAGGAGATGTGGTTCTGCATGACAGTGGTCAAGGTGGCCTTGTCCTTGATGGAAGAAACCCATGAAGGAAGCTGGGAGTGCCAGATGGTGGTGTGTCCACGGATGAGCTTGCCGTTGTCCTTGGCGAACTTAGCGGTCTGGTCGGCAGTACCGAAGGTGAATTTGCCACGGGTAGACTCGGTAGCATCCCACTTCATGGAGTTCTCGGGGGTGATTTGACCAAAGTTGGCCTTGATGATGGCAGCGTTCTTGCCCTGGTTGAATCGGCCTGGGTCAGTGGCGGTACCGAAGTACTTCCTGCCCTTGGCCTTCATGGCGGCATCGAGGCTCTGCGCAGCCTGGCGCTCCTCAAGGAAAGCCTCTGGCTCAGCAAAGGGAGAGGCAGCGACCAAAGCGCTGGCGGAAAGGATGGTGATGAGAGAAAACTTCATGGTTGCTAAAAGGATTGGTTTGATTGTTTGGTGGAATGGAGAAGCTGAAATGAATGAATGTGATGGATACGAAGATATGCCCATGGGCCCAGCTCTACTTATACCAATCCATCGTCCCCCCAGAGTGCCCTAGACTATTCGGCGCACGCATTTCGTCTAAACAACGTAATTCGCCTCAAACAACGGCAGGCGTCGTCTAGAAGCCGCATACCCACCACGTTGTGGAGAAATCCCGAAAATAGGGCGTTAACGCAATCAAACATGACCTGCAATCGCACCTGCAATGCGTCGTTCATGTCGGTCATGGCCTGAATGATTCGTAGTCTTACCGTATAGAGTAAAAAAGTGGAAACCAGGCGTTTCGGGTTAATTTATTCCAAGCTTCGGTGGTCGGTTCTTGTGCTGCTTGAGGTACTTGGCGTTTTCTGCACGGGGAAAAAGCGGCTAAATGCGAGTAGGGAGTTCATGGCGAAACAACAACAGCCGGCCTATGCTTGTTCCACCTAATTCTCGAAACGCGACATCATTGTGCTGAATAAATTTCCGATATTAATATATCAACAGGGGCTGTGTTCAGTACGTAAGTAAGCACACGCAAAACCATAGCTCTGTACGTAGACCGCTTTACTCTGCGCGCGAGTAATTAGTGCAGCACAACAATGACTGGATCCACGGAGCTCTGATAATGATTCACCGCAATACGGAATATGTCCGGTACCAGTGCTGGTTCTACGGGTCCATTTCTGTTCTTCGTTGGTTTGGCTACGTGGTGGCATGCGGGGATGGACGATTCGTGGAGAATATTCCGTAGCGATGGTCCGTATTCGTCGATCGACTTGGCACAAGACCACTTGGTAGGGGTAGTAAAGCCGTTAGGATTTGCGAGGATGATTTCTCCGGAACAGAAGGAATTGTGGAGTGCATCTGTCTGGGGAAACTGCATATGCAGCCAAGGTACCTGCGGTTATTGTCTTCCACAAGCTTTCCAAGACTCCACTTGGCTAGCCGAATATCCAGGCTTAATGGATGTGGACGTTAATTGACACACCAATAAGGAGAAACAGTGTGCGTTCTTTACCGTGGAAGATTGTTATGCCGAACCAACTTTCAAGGCGAGCTACAATGCTCACGCCAACACCGCTTACTGCACTGCGCTGCGATATTAGCCCGTTGGATTTGTTTGGTGGTGTGACCAGATTGGAGCCCAAGGAATAACTGCTGCTTGTGTGGTGCTGCGCAAGTCAGATCTAAGGACTGATGTCTATTTTGTCGCGATTCCAGTCAGCACTAACACTCAGCATACATATTCTTCAACCATATATTGTCATGTTAGTATCACATGGTGATCCCTGTTGGCGCCTGAGCGTTTCCTGAACTTGACCTGAACGATGATTGGTGCCCTTGATGTAGCAGCCGTCTATGCGGATGCGCATAGATCATGTTCCTGTAACCGGTCATCAATATGGTAGATCCTCCTCTTCCAATTTATTTTCGGGTAATGTGGACAGCAAGTTGATTCTCTTTCGGTCTGCTACTGCCTAAACTGTGGGAGGTTGAGCAGATTCTTTGTCCTGAAATGGGCTGATGGTGTGTAGTCGGCGCTTCTGCTTGAGACTGCAATTTCCGTGGGAGCAGAACAGAACTTGTTCTAAATACAAAGCCTCCTCTCGTATGGTGATCTCTATCCGAAGCCAGAGGAGGAGGAAGGGAGGAAGGGAGGGAGGGAGGGAGGGAGGGAAGTGGAGCCGTAAACACTAAGCTGAGAGTCACTTGAGATTGGTCCTCGACATGACGTCATCATCTTCTCCATCTCGTCCATACCAGCTGTTCTCATGTCAGGTTCCAACTCGTTATGTCCGCCTCCATGTTCTCAGGCCCGGATCTATCTTCTCATGTCCAGCTTCGGCCTTTGCACCGCAGTTCGGACGTCCGTTAATGTCCGGATCACTGCGGAATTCCGACCGGCTAGATTTTCAATATAAAAGTCAACCTCAGTATTGTTGTATCCTATGCGTAATCTAAATCTTGACGATCAATGCTCTAAGCTCTCACAAGCTTTCTCAATCCTTGTGGCACTCACTCTAATCGACTGCAAGCTTTTCCTTTTCCTCCGTCGCATTTGCTAATCGGTAGCATGGCTTCGAAGGTCTTTTTGAACAAGATCGCACTTGTTGGTGCTAACGGCAATGTTGGCTCACACATCCTGTCAGCTCTGCGAGCCAAGGACCGATTTCAGATTACCGCCATTAGTCGCGTACAATCTAAAACTACATTTCCAAGTGACATCAGTGTTGCACGTGTCAACTATGCTGAACCAGAGACTCTGGTAAACGCCTTGAAAGGACAAGATGCTCTCATAATCACCATGAGCGTCTTCGCACACGATGCACAGGAAAAGCTCATCCGTGCGGCAGCTCAAGCTGGGGTACCGTGGATCCTGCCAAACGAGTTTGGCATGTTCAATACAGAAGACATTCAGACCGAAACAACAGGATCCGGGAAACAGAGGGATCGCGCTCTAATCGAGGAGCTTGGGGTCTCATCCTGGATCGGAATGACTAGTGGATTTTGGTACGAGTATTCGCTCAGCGGCGGGCAATACGGTATCGATCTTAATAAACGAGAAGTGGTGTATTTTGATGACGGAAATCAGCGTCTGAACACTACAACATGGCCTCAGACTGGGCTTGCTGTAGCGAATTTGCTATCGTTGCCTCTATCGTCATCTGATGGAAAGAGCCAGACACTAGAGCAATATCGCAACCGCATGTTGTTCTTTTCATCATTTACTCTCAATCAACGCGAGATGTTTGAGGCGACACAGAAGGCTACTGGAACCACAGAGAAGGATTGGAAGATATCTTCCGAGCCAGCCAAGGCACGGCTAATGAAGGCAAGGCAAAGACTAATGGCTGGAGATCGTAGTTCGTTTGCAACGGTGTTGTACACGCGATACTTCATCGACGATGCCGGCCTATACGAGAAAAACCACGGTCTGAACAATGATGAGTTGAGTCTGCCAAAAGAGGATCTGATCGAAGCTACGAAAAGGGCCGTGGAGATGGCTAAGACTGACTTTTGGGACAAGATGTACAAGTAGTTTGCCTATCACGTACACGAATAAGACTAGGCTACTTTACAATATGATTGCTATGCACTGAATTTCGAGTCATGTTATTCTACACAGTGCAGAAAGATCGACCGCTCTTTAGCGTCACTAGCGACTCATGCTGTGGTCTTACCACCTTGGACTATGTTCATCAGTCAAATACGATAGCAGCCTTGACAACTTCCTGCTTCCTTACTGCCTCCAGACACTCCGCCCACTCCTCAATTCTGTAGGTCTTGTTCGCGATACCCTTCAACTTGAGCCTTCCAGCATTGACATATTCCAGCACATGTGGTAAATGACTCATACTACAGAAACTAGCCAGAATGGTAATTTCGTTCTCCCAAATCTGAAATGGAGACCACGAGATTTTGACGCTGTTGTCATAAACGCCGTAAACAACTAATTTTCCGCCTTTTCGTACATAGTCGAGGGATTTTTCTAGCACTGTGGGAGCGCCGGTAGCTTCTACGACAATGTCGAATCCATACGGGTTAGCAGCGCGGAGGTCCTGCATATCGGTCTCGGCGTGGTCGTCGGAAATAGTGATGAAGGTGTCTGCAATGGCCAAGGAGCGAGCAAGGTCGAGCTTAGGCCCTGCTTTTGAAGCGATCGTCAACTGAGGCTGGTTAGCAATCGTTATTGGGTATGGTAGGGGTTTACATGCATGCGCAGCACCGTTCATCTTGATCAATTGTGCGAGTAATATACCTGTCGGTCCACATCCGAACAGCAATACCCGGCTACCAGCTTCCAGTTGCATCCTCTCGATACCATGTGCAGCACAAGCTGCTGGTTCCAACAGAACTGCCTCAAGGTCTGGAAGATCGCCAATCGGAAATACCATTCGCGCAGGATATCGGCAATATTCAGCCATACCACCAGGTACATTACCGCCATATCCGATGACATTTTCGCAAAGCTGTGGCTTTCTTCGAGTGCAGTGGAAGCATTTGAGACATGGTTCCAGGGCATCCGCTGCTACACGGTCACCAATTGCGACGTTGGTGACATTCTTACCGACAGCAGCAATTGTGCCAGCTGCTTCGTGACCTGTAGCTATGAGCAAGGAGTGATAGTATACATGAGATTGGGCATACCAGGTATTAAGGGCCACTATTGTAGTCGGTCAGCAAGGTTGACATGAAGTATGGGCATGCAATCTTACCCTTGCCAAAAACTCGCCTTTGTGGTAATGCAAGTCCTTGGAGTCGGTTAGTAAGGAGAGATTAGATGTTCTTCACGAAATATCACATACAGTACCGCATACACCACAAGCCGAGATCTTGACCTATCTCAAGTTGTTACTCCACAGTAAGCACTGAAACGTAAGCCGATGAACCTTACAAGAACGTCATCATCCCCAATCTTCGGAACATCGATTGTTTCCACCGCGAATTTCTCTGGTCCAGAGTATCTGGTAGTTCTCAGCGAGATGTCTATGCTTCCGCAAAGTGCAAGCATGCCTTACTGCAGCGCCTTCATCTTCTCAGGTACAGCCTGAGGCTCGCTCTTTCTGGGGGCTGCATGGCCGTTCATCGTAATCTTGAAGCAATTGAAAGCTTTGAATATCTACGGGAACAATACATCGTGAACCGCAGTATTTTATACCCAAAGTTTTGATGTATTCCGCCACGAAGGTTATCTTAGACGCGTCAATATCTGGGGTGCGGGGTTCGGTTTACCTTCCTCGTCGCGCCTGTTCCAGCACTCCCGGCATTTCTTCTTTGGGAAAGCGTGTATATTCTACGAACCACAATCACGCTACCATGGCCAATTTTCTGCTTTAGTCTAGTGTATAGGCATTTGGGAGGATAACGCTACTCTTTTTAACAACTTGGTTTTTCCTGCACCCTATCTGCGTTGAGATCCAACATCTTGTGTGCAGTGCACTTGATCAGTATTTCCAGTAATCAAGATCAGTAAATTCTGTCTGAGTAGTTAATCCCTACGTCGGAATTGATCGGGAACTCAAAATATCAATACAAGTGAGATTTTTAGATAACCGATTCAATAAGCGCTCGTGGATGCCTGTCAAATAGCAGTCAAGTGGCGCCACTATGCAGTCCTCTATATCTGAATTGACTTGATTTTGCGCTCAAAGCAGAAAATACCTATCTTGATATAGCTTTACAAAAGACATAAAACGACGTAAACATACTAAGGGCAAATTAGCATGATCTACATGTGCAGGTGTTGAACACTATGATATCACAATGAGTAAGAAGTCAAACAGTCATCAATCAGGTTCCGTTCCTGAGCAGATACACACATTACGAGTCAACAGTGAATTTCGCATAAGAGGGACCGAAAATAGCCTTGGACAGTGTTTCCCAATACTGCGCATCCAAAGCTTCAATGTAACCACAACACACTTCACTATTGCACTAAATTCATTGGCCGATCGATTGCAGTAAGGCTTTGATATTCAAGCCCGCGTTCCCTGACGGGTTTTGAGCAAAATATCTGCCGTGAGAGCAATCAGGGGTAACCCAGCCTATCAGGCGCCACAACGATGCGAAACAATCGTGCATTCTCACATTCACATATAGATGGCTTGGCTCGCTGACATCCATTCTTCCAACTCACCCGTGTCTACCTTGACACTTTTTTTTTCGGAAGTTAACCTCAAGGCTGACATGTGAAACCCTAGCATATCGCGGCCAAGCCTCGTTCCCGTCAAGGCACCCATCACGTGATGCTATTTTTGCCCTGCATTACGAGTAAGTAAGTAAGCGAAACGAAACATCTAGACCACGTTTCCAAGATGAAACTTGGCGGCCCGCGATTTAGGGCGACAAGATGTCGGATTCGTCGATGCGTCTAGTTATCGTACCCGTGTGTCTGGCTTCGGCCTACTTTCCTCAAAGGGTCGACAAGGCTGATGCCGTAATTGGTGGCGTGGTTGTTCCGGTCTGAAATTACCTTGCCGCTGTGTTCCCGTGGTATGTAGGTACAGTTCATTGTGTATCAGCGCTAAGGTGTTAGATTGGAAGAAAGCTGACTGCCAAGTTGCTTTGTGCAGCCGGTGTAATAACAGTTGCAATCTCGACCTACATACACAACAGGCCTAGTGCGAATGGCTTGATTTGTGTAGATATTGACTGACTGAATGAATGGCAATACTGTTTTGAGCTACCCCTTTGTCGTACTTTGGGCAAAGCACTCAACGCGGTCGATTTGAAGGTCTGCATCTTTTAATAAAGAACTTGAAAAGTCCTACAATTGATCGCTATATTATAATTAATATACCAAGCTTAATTACACAACAACAGTACTTGTAAGGTTGTTCAAAGATGCATATGAGCTTAGGGATTAATTCGCATAAGCAATCACTCAGAGTCGCGAGCCTGATACCTTCTTCTTGGTAAATGACTGCAGTGACATGAATGCGTGATGTGTTGATTACAACGAAGAGCAATCATATCGACCTTATCTTACCTCCCTTCTCCTATCCCTCACTGCAACCGTGTTCCTGAGTGGTGATCGCAATGCTACATGTATAGCGTTTGGCGAGGTCCAAGCGAGCGGCGTGTGGGTGTTTGAGACATGAAGGAGGATAAATTTTGTGTGTGGTTTACTATTGCGAGGGTGAGGATTTGGAAGGAGGTCGAGAAAGGGTGGAGGGAATACTTGTAGGCCCAGGCAAACGAAGAAAAAGATGTGGTTGGAATTAGAGTTGCATTGACAGTGAACTAGTGTGGGGATCTGTTAGTTACTGCCTGACATCTAAGAATTGGTATCGGTCAGTCTGATCCAGCTCTTCCTGGTATCTATATCTCAGGTTTATAACCTGTTGTGCGACAACTACGTTGCCCGGATCACATGCTCCCTGACAATGTGTTTACCATCCCTGCTACTACCCAGAATCTTTGCCCCTTCCACATGAGTTTGTTCCTCATTCTGTAACTCTTGAGCGTGCTCACCAATGCTCTTCGCTTGCAAAGGCTGTGTTGCGGATGGCTGCGGCGGCGGCGGTGGCGGCGGTGGAGGTGGCGCCCAATCAACCTTGAAAAGCAAGTTGGGCCACCCTGTGGGATCATCTTCCATGAATACAATGATGTGACTAATGTACTTGTTGCCTCCCATCTCCCTCTTGTGCTGGGTGAGCAAGTAGCCTGCAGCTAAACCGTTTGGGGATCCTGAGACATATGTTAGTCAAGATGACAATGTTGTACTATGTCGTCTTGGGAAGTAGAATACAGGAAGGTAATGAGGGAAGAAACCGGCCTACCTAGAAGCGCCCTATACTCTTCAGTTCCCGAATTGAACCGAACTCCTGGCCAGGGCGGCACTTCATCATGACCATTTTTCTTCATCGCCCTGTCAATAATCCGCCCAGTCTCTTCATTGACGACTTCGAAAGAAATAAAGGCGTTAATTCCCCCTAGATTATAGCCGCTCACCCTATTCCAGAAACCCCACGCAATGTCGGAGCTGGATCTCAAGGCAGGCATCTCGTCGCGCGGGATTGGAATGTGCGTGGGGACATTCCAAATAAGGCGAGCTTGGGTCTCGGGAGACGATCGATCGATAAAGAAGATGTACCCGTCTTTGCTATTCACGCCGATGATGAAGTGGGCACCCGTTATCTGTAGAGGATGAGATGTGTTAAGAAATCAAGTGGTCGAATTACGGGAATGATTGGTTAGCTTACCCTGTATCTCCGCCCGTTGACAGTGTAATGTTGTGTCGACCTTCGCGGCATGGATCCATCAGGATTTTTCTCAACAGCAGGGCCGTCGTAATGAACGACGGTGAAACAGCGGTTCGGTCCACCATCTGTATAGTCGTGCATACCAACACCCAGCTCACGGAAAGCTCGTGTTAAGCCGCTAAATTTTGTTTCGAAGTCGCACGCTCCCTTCCTATCATCGTCATCACTAGCGTCGTAATAACCCCATGTAGTCAGTTCGTTTACCAGAGTACCGTGCCACGGGGTGGTGAGTGGTCTACAGTGTAGGATGGCTTGATTAGGGTTGAGTGTGGTTCCAAAGAGTAATTTAGTTCCTTTGCAAACTGCCCGGTCCCATTCGTCATCTGTAGTCGCGACATTGACGGTTTCCGTATCGGAGCCGATTGCTGGGTTGGAGTGTTTTGTGAGAGATTTATCAGTGAGCCCTGACTGAGTGATCTCGCCTGCAGTCAGAAAAACTAAGTGTACGAAGACGAGAAAGGCTAGGGATATGAGCTCCATCTCGAAAGCTGACGTGTGATGTATGAGAGTGTGTGTGGTTGAAGTAGAAGCTTAGGAGCGAAATGAAGTTGGAACTATATTTTACCTAGAGGGTGAGGGGGAGTGTACCAAAACAAGGCGTGAAAGCGAGGTGAATTGAATTTTCTAAATTTAGCGTAGCTGTCGTTACGTGAGTGAGTGAGTGAGTGAGCGAGTGAGTGTGCATGAGCGGTAAGCATTCGTGAATAAGAGCGGAAACGGGCCTTTGTAAGAGAGTTCATCATAAATGGTGCAAACTCGCAAGAGAAGAAGAGAAAGTCTTATATCTATTTTGCACACATGATGTTTAAACGTGTATGATTCATCGTGGTTTAGTAAGAGGGATCTTGGTATATATATGGGAGAAAAAAATGGTGAGATAGTATAACCACCTTTCTGCCGCAGTAACAAGTACATGCAAATCTCCCATTATTTCGTAAGCAGAAAGAATATTGGCATATTATCAAGATCGCGTCGCATCGGGATACGAACGATAACTCTCTTAGGGGTGAATAATGCACATTGTGCATATGCGGCAAGTCCTGAATGGCTAGTGAATCTTTGCGATGTTGCTCTTCTTGGATAAGCATGTTGATAACAAAATGAGATCTTATTGATACAAATTTCTCAAGACTACATCGTCTTGAGAGTACTGCATGGCTGAATGAGGATAGTATTAGACTAAGAGCTTGCGAAAAGAGGGTTTGAACTACACGGTAGGTGCAAAAGGGAATAAAGGTCTTATTGCTCGCAAAGCATCTTAAGAGATATCGCTCAACATAGTTCAGAACATCAAAAACATATGTGGCTATTCGTATATGTTCAAGTGAATGTATTCATTTTGTTTGAGTAACTTGTATTGGTTACATAAAGACATTATTGAGTAAGAAGCGGACGTGATGAGATTCACGGAGCAAAGATAGTGCACAAATACCTAGGTTCACCCACCTGTGTACTGAGTCGAGGAGAAAGTGAGCTTGACCATTGGGCACACGGCATGGCCCGTCAGCCAATCACTAGAGCTACTAGCTACCCTGATCGAGTCAGTGGAGGTATGTGAATGCCCTCTATGGAAAGCCAATTGCATTTCTGCGATGGCACTGAGGTCAGGAGCTACAAAGGTAATCCTGCATTCCGGGTTGGTCAGAATATGGTTTCTTTCGCTGTCATGTTGGAGTACGGGTCTGGCAGTGATGAGTATCCTTCATCCTGACGGCGTTTCAGCTATTCTATACCTGCTCGGATTGATAGCAATTCTTATGCATGTCTGAGGCTCGAAACAGGGTTGGTAGGGATGCAAAACTGTATTGGCATCATCGTGGCGCTAGATTCATTTCAGTCACTCTCGCTGTCATAGCCGGGGACAAGCATGGTAGACAGCTTCGATGGTGGCGGGACTGATTTAACTTGAGGTTGAGGGGCCGGGGTAGGAGCCGGTGCCTGAGTCTTCTTCTTGATGCCGAGCGCGGCGCTGAAATCCTTCTTTTCTTTTGGCTTCTTGCTGAAGGATGCGACAACAGGCACATCTATTGGGACATCCATCATATCCTCATCGATAGCTTCCTCACCAATATCTGGCATGCTCCGACTAGCAAAAGCCTGCCGTGCTGCTTCCGCGTCCTCTTCGTCTTGTTTCTTCCTGCGCTCATCGGCAGCATCAGGCTGGACATCGGGTCGAGTACCCAGGCTCTCTGCTTTCTCGAGGCGCGCGTTCCTTGAGCGGATCTCATCGAGAGCATCGGCAATGGCCATTTCGGTCTTGGCGTCAACTACTTTGGTCTCAAGCTCCTTCATGGCGTCGCGCTCTGCCTCTTCTTTCTCAAGGCGATCTAAGCGCTCCTCCTCGGTTTCCTCATTGAGCTTGGCTTCTCTCCAAGGCTCAAAGTTGCGCTTTGCGCCGCGCTCGCATTCGTAGTCCATGTTCTTGGGGTCGGTTTTGAAGGTGATTTCGCCAGAGCAACGGGTGCAGCGGATATAGAAGCGGAAGATGGCGATGTTGTAGTACTTTTGATCGGTGGTTTCTTTGCGAGCGTTGAATTTGCGCCCCTTGTAGATGAACTCGCCACAGTGCGTGCATTTCATGGAAAAGGGCGCCATAAGGCGGACGGTCATGAGCTTGGGACCCGCATTCTTAGGGCCGCGCTGGCGGGTGATTTTGGAAGGGTCGAAATCGGGGGGGTAGTATTTGGTGAGGACTTTGCGTTCAGACATGGTGGGTGGTAGGTGCCTTGGGCGAGTTCTCTGTCGGAGTGTTGGGTGGTGTTGTACGAGGTCGAGAGGGAGCGGCAACCTATTATTCTCATGGAAGCCAATTTTGCTGACTAACACAACTGACTAATCAGCGAGTCCGCGGCAACCCCGCAAACATGTGCTTTCGTGTTATGCTGGCGCCCGCGCGTCGCCTTTGTGTGCATGGACATGCACATGTGATATACACAACCACCCATTCGTCTTAACCCACCAAAAGACCCACCCTTCCACGCGTCGATTGTTTCCCCAGCACATGGCCACAGCAGCTCGGCACCATGGAAAATTATCTTCGCGAATGGCGCCAGGAGGCCCTCAACCGCTGCCAGTACGACACGGCCATCTTTGTTGCCGACAAGCTGCTGGCCCTCACTGGTATGCTGCCCTACCCTCGCCCACCACTACTACCCTGGCCGCTCACGACACCCCACAGACGATGACCAAGACGCCTTTTGGCTGGCCCAGGTTCACTTCACCACGGGCAATTACAACCGCACCCAGGCCCTGCTTGCGCGCGGCAATCTGATTGACCGCACTCCCCAATGCCGCTATCTCGCTGCCCACTGCGCCATCAAGCTGGGCAAGACGGATGACGCTCTACACATCCTCGGCGATAAGAACCCCACACATCTCATTGCCGCCCCAGACAGTGCCCGTACTAAGCTGCGCCATGTCCATGTAAATACACGCCACGGCCCCCGCCATCACCGCTCCGGTTCGCGCAACGAGCGCCTGCCCACAAGTGAGGAACGCGACCGCGAGAACGCCGACAACATCAAGTCCGAAGCCGCCATGTGCTACCTGCGCGGCGTTTGCTACGCCAAGCTGAACTCGTTCGATCGCGCAAAGGAGTGCTACAAGACGGCTGTCCAGATTGACGTCCAGTGTTTCGAGGCCTTCGACGCTCTCATGTCCAATTCGCTCATGGCTCCGGACGAGGAGTGGAAGTTTCTCGAGTCGCTGAATTTCGACACCATCAATGTCTCCAGCAATCCCTCGCTGTCGCAAGAAGCCGCCTCTTTCACAAAGACACTCTATACCACCCGTCTATCCAAGTACACCAGACCCGAGGAGTTTGCGAATGCTACCGAGACCCTTACCACTCATTACAACCTTGGCGAGAACCCAGACATTGTTCTCTCCAAGGCCGACCTCATGTTCACCCTGTGTAGATTCCGCGATACCCTTGCTCTTACCTCGTCCGTTCTTTCCAATGACAAATATAACTTCAATATCATGCCCATACACATAGCATCTCTGCACGAACTGGGCGAGAAAAACACACTCTTCCTCCTCGCCCATGAGCTCGCGGACACACATCCCTCTGAACCGTGCGTGTGGTTTGCTGTCGGCACATACTATCTCGCAATCGGACGTATAGCCGAAGCGCGCCGATACTTTTCAAAGTCGTCCATGATGGATCCGCATTTTGGGCCCGCATGGATTGGCTTCGCACATACATTTGCCGCTGAAGGCGAGCACGACCAGGCCATTTCTGCCTACTCGACCGCTGCACGATTGTTTCAAGGCTCCCACCTGCCCCAGATGTTCCTCGGCATGCAGAACCTCCAACTAAACAACCTGACCTTGGCAAAAGAGTATCTCAAGACATCATATGACTTGTGTGAAAATGATCCATGTCTACTTAATGAAATGGGCGTTGTCTATTTCCATGAGGGGCAACTTGTCGACGCCATACACTTCTTCCGCCGAGCACTCGCCTTCTCAGAGCAAAACGAAGCAGATCCTGATACTTGGATACCCACGCGGATAAACCTTGCCCATGCCCTTCGCAAGCACGAGAAATACAGCGAATCACTCGCCACTTTCGACGACGTCCTTCGCCATGGCACAAAGGATCCCAGCGTATTTGCAGCAAAAGCACTAGTACTCCTTAACATGGACCGTAGCTGGGACGCCATTGTGACCCTTCACGAAGCCCTAGCCGTCGCGCCCCAAGACCCCATGGCCACTGATCTCCTCAACCGCGCTTTGGAAGTCAACGAATCTGACAGCGGGCACGCGCAGTCCGACCCAGCTGGTGCATCAACCTTTCCAGGCGAACCAGAAGAAAACGAAGAGATTGAAGAGCTGGAACGCCGCATGAGTGGCAAGCTACGGGAAATCGAACAAAATCGCGTCGCGGGCAGACGGAGCCGCAGGAGACGCCATGCACAGGGTGGATCAGTTGAGGATGTTAGCGCTTTTGGCGAAAGTATGGTGGTTGACTCAGATGAAGGATAAGCCGCTCATCGTTTGCATGTGTGTGTTGTGGATGGATTAAAAAACCCTTTGGAATTTGGATACGGTTTTCTCATTTGCATAGTGGGCGTCAAAACAAATGAGGCTGGGTGTGCATTTCGTGACTTGGGCATAGCGTATGGAGTGAGTTTGGGAATTATCGTCTTGAATTTTTTTTTCTTTGGCCAACACGAGATACCAAAATCATGGGCGTTTGAACGCTTCTTTTCTTGTTAATCCATCTTGATATGTCTACTGCATCTATGGTTGTTTTCTTCTTCTGTGATTCGTGACTATGTCAGTGTCGCACAAAGCTTGATTCCTTTGTTCACTTACCCCCTCAGATTTTCATCGCCAAAACCCTTTTGTACACGAACACTGTTGTCCGATTTCTTCGTGATATAGTAAGAATCTAGTTACTGCCTGATCTACCTCTCAGACCCCATTCACGAAGATGTCTACCACATGTAGTTCCGTCTCGTTGGACGCAAATC